CGCTAAACGGACACTAAGGCATCTATGCTCGGGGATGGTATAAGAAAATTGCTACTACGAGAACTACGATATACGCTCGATAACTCGGAGCCATCTAAAAAGATGAACTAAGGAACACATAATTATCTTTAAATTTAACTCTCCGCTGGCTTGTGTCGCGATTTTATTATTACGTATTATACTCCTTTTATCGCCTTTCTCTTTTTTTTCTTTTTAAACCTTGAGCTTTAGCTTCCCTGTCGTTCAGATCGTTCTCGCGAAGGGGGAAGTTTTCGTCCGTAAGGGAAGCGGAGAGGAAACGAAGCGGCGCCTCTACGGGGCCCGTTAATGCAGCCCCCCTACATCCTTACGGCGACGTGCCTCGCGAGTCACGACGTGAGGAAGAGCGATCGCCGGTTCACAATCCCTCGACGAGCCGGAGCGTCTTATTATTGATCACCGTTGATTCGACTAACGTTTCATGTGCCGTTTCCATGCACGCACCGGCCATCGTCCCGTCGTTCCGCATCCACCGCATCAACCCCCGCGCAACAATGCACGGTGCCGGAAACGCGTATTAACTCCGACCAGCTGCTACTGCCGTTGTTGCTGCTGCTGCTGCTGCTGTTGTTACTCTTGCTGCTTTTGCTCTTCCGATCTTGCTATCCTCGCTACCACCCTTCATACGATCGCTCATCGACGACGATCGTTACGGAGCATCTGGCAAGTAGCGTAGGGATGTACAATGTCCTGGACTTGTCGTGGGATTCCCCGGCGACGATCGTGATCATGGCGTATTTCTCACTTCCTTATGCAATTACTACTCCTCTTTCTCTGTTTCTCTCTCTCTCTCTCTCTCTCTCTCTCTCTCTCTCTCTCGCGGCGCGTGTCTTATCGATGTTTACGCGTTCGCTGTGCGTGCGTTTACTTGAATCAGATCGATCCGCAATCGCGAAATCTCGAAATTGGTCTGTCCTTATGTTTCTTTCAGTATATAATTCTTCCACGTATAATTCTCCCAATGGGAACCACTTAATCACGCTTAAATCACTCTCGCAGGAGTGACAGTACATCCCTCGTGTCGCTCCAGGCAACGCACGAAGGCGAGGATCGAATCTAATGCAACGAGCTCCCGCGAGAATCTCGCGTTCGACATCGCGCCATCGATGTGTCTCGCGACTTTCGACACTCCTCGTCCGCGTTTTAATATCTTCTCAGCTGTCGGCGACACCCTCTCTTCTCGCTGAGGATCAACGTCGAGATTTCCGTCGAGAGAAATCTCGGGTTCTCCGAATGAAGAGTCTGCGATTCGCAGACTTTCGAATCTTACGATTCTTCTCGGACGACTCCCACACAAAACGCTGCACTTACGCACTTACGCACTCTCCCTCTCCTTCTCTCTCTGTCTCTCCCTCCCTCCCTCCCTCCCTCTCTCTCTCTCTCTCTCTCTCTCCCTCTCTCTCTCTCTCTCTCTTCCCTGTCACGGGTCTCCAGGTTAAGACACACGCAACTGTGCTCTATTTCTCACTCTCCTCCGTCACGCGCGCAAACCACCACCCTAATCGGTGCCGCGCAGTGTGTGTATGTACCTCGGGAGCGGCATAACGACTCGAACCCTCAACCGAATCGCGAGTCCAATTAACTTGAGAGAATGCGAGCGGTGGGGGTGGTGGTGATGGTGGTGGTGGTGATTCGTCTCGCGGACGACGTCGAGGACGATCCTGGAGGACAGTGCGAGATGTCCGCAGCGCGAAATGGGTGTGAACCCCGTGATACGTGCGCGTTGACCGACGGCGGCGGCAGCCCTGCCGACACCGCTCTCTCTCGCCTCTGGAGCAACCCTCCACTCCAACCCTCCACGGAGCCGCCTCCAACCCTCGCCACGGAGCGGCGTCAGCGGCGGCAGTCCGCGCCGGCGTCGTCCTGTTGGCGGCAATCCCTGGTCTTCAACTTTCGAGCCCTCATAGGCTGCAATCTTCACGCCGTATATTTGCGCTGCCGGCTGTAAGGGATGTTCGGGGCGCGTCGAGAAGAGTGCGCTTCTCACTGTCGCGACAATCGCAAATTAGCTTTGGGAATTTCTCGGTATCTCGCGACTTTCAACTGGTATGATTTACACGCTCTATTTCTCTCTCGTGATTATTAATAAGATTTCCTCGCGAAGATTCGCGAAGATGGAAGGACGCATTTTGAGAGCAGTGTTACCGCTGTTACATCTGAAGCTGCTACTGGCGATATCTATCGTACGACGAAAATTACGAACGAACTGAACGCATTTTATCGACTGTTCTTGATTGCCGTGTTGACTACACATTCTGATGACCTTTACTCAATTAATTTTTTTTTCAACAGAATAGATGAAAAATAATTATGTCATACTGGATTTTGAATTTCATATGAAGTGAAATCTATTTTCCGTTCTATGACTCATTGTTACTTTCATCAAGATGTTTAATACGAAAATACATTACAGAAAATATATTAAAACTCGAAAACCCATATGTCATTCTCTTATTATATTTATTGATGAAATTGAAATGTCAAAATGTTATGTTAGACAGCTCAATAAATATGTAGCATAATTCGTTATGCAAAAATAAAATTAAAATAGAATTAAATTAATTAATTAAAATTCACAGCTTTAGAACTTTTATTGAAGATTTGAAAATCACATAAAAACAATGGTACGATATATTTGCGATACTCGCAGCAGCCTGTTTTTCATTACGTTAAATGTATTCAAAATGTCAGGATATTAAATTTCTGTTACTTTTACATCTCTTTTCATAAACATGATTTTTTATTTATTACTCGATAAAAGGTTGATGCGAGATAAGAATTCTAACCAAGTCTTTATTACGATATATAACTAGAATTTCAAATATCCTATATTAAATTCACGAATATAAGATCATCCTCTCCGAACACAATATTGGATCTCTCAGATATTTACACAAGGGGGTTCTATGCTCAGAGGGCCGTCTCGCTACGTCGTGAAAGTAGAATAGAAAACTTATATTACGTTTGCGCTTCTCTAACTATAACTATAAGAAATCACGGCGGTAAGAAAATATATTTTTCTAAAAGCTTTCATTTCAGTGATATTATAGATTCCGTTATCAAACAAATCAATCTATACAAGTCTTAACAAAAATATCTCCAATGTGAAAAATATCTCTTATGATGTGAAATATATTTTACTATCACTGACCTTTTATTTTATACTGCTCCTCATATTATGAAAATAAATACCTTCTACTTTTATTGTAAAAAGATTTATATAAATAATTCTTGTTGTAATAAAACTTGTAAATTCTTATAAATTCTTGAAATATTCACGACAGCTTTCTTTGGTATCGGTATTCATAGAATTGCGAAAAAGTCTTTACGAGTATCGCATGATAATGTCTTGGTAATCTGAACTGTTTCTAAGTCCATACATGTGCATTTTCAGAGAAAATCTCAAAGTTTCACGCAACTTTTTCAGATTTTCATATGAATAAAGTGCTATCTATATAGTATGTTAAACAATAACTTCTTAAATTTTAAACTTCATATCATACTTAGAAATAACTTAATAAAGGAATCAAAACTAGAAAGGGTCTATATAACGTTAATATCAACTTTAATTCTCTTTTGAACTTGAATCTTCATTTATTAAAGACAAAATTCGAAGATTGGCGCAAGAAAATTCAAATTAAGGTGTAGATAACCTAACTATAAAGTGCCTTTAAGAAATTATTGTCCATTATAAAATACATAAAAGATGCTTTATTATGTATTAAAATTAGAAAAAGTTGCATAATCTTGATTATAGATTCCAGAATTATTTTTATATAAATGTTTTTATATAAATTTTTATATAAATGTTTATATAAATTTTTATATAAATGTTTATATAAATTTTTATATAAATAAAATCTAAAAATTTGTAAAGAATTTGGGTATAATTTTTGTAACTGACGCTTATTTATTTTCAGGGAACCGTGAGATTTTTCTATGGCGGCGTTTGCACGTGCACAGAAACGCGTGTAAACCAAAGACGAGATAAAGAGAACTACACAACTACCGTAAGATCAATATAGGGGATGTTAGTTCGGTAACTGCTTTTCTGGTCTCTCTCTCTCTCTCTCTCTCTCTCTCTCCTCCTTTCTCTCCCTTTGCTTCCCGCCTCCCCCCTTTCCTCCCTTCTCTCTTTCTCTCTGATTTTCTCCAGCTTCCGTCTTATGCAATTGCATTATCGCGGTATTACCGCGCGGAATCAACGTCGTTCTGTTGTCTGCGATCGAGAGCAACGTTTAACTTCAAGTACGGATTAATAGTAACCCCCAGGCAATCACGAGACAAGCTTGAGTTCGCGATCTAGTTAAACAAAATCTTACCACTGAGGCGAGAACTATTTTAGAAATTAAATAAATTTCTTACTCTCAAATATCTGGTTTAATTCCCAATTAGGTATGATAATTTTATGCCAATGTATGTGTTAAATTCTTGGAATGATAACTATGAATCTAACTTACAACGCAGTTTTTACGTCATAGTTTTTTTACAGCATATATTTATTTTCTTATATGTACATAGTTAGCTTATGACAAATAAATGTAGTGAGCTTCTATTCAAAAGGATTAAATTTTGGTAAATTGGATATTTCTCAATTATAATTTGCACGCATGTTATGCAAAGTTTATATTACAAACTTTAAAAATCATGTGAATCATAAAAAAAATTTGCGTATTTAGAAGTTTACATTATCGAAGATATATGCAAAGAGTCGATAATCTTAACAAGAAGTTGCTAAATAAGATAAATGTATTCAATGAAGCTTATTATGAAATAAACAATAACAAAAATAATAATTCAATATATAAAAAATATAGACGTATAA